AAGTGCAACCGTGAATTGTGGTGGAGTAAGCAAAGGTGCTGTGTTGAGCGACCAAATGGCGGGGATTTTCACCCTTATTTCACAGTTCATTACAAAAAGGCCGCTCGTTATAACAGCGCTGAGCCTGAGGTGTACTCCACCACACACAGTATCACCGCATTACTGGATTTAGGATTGCACGTGCGGCTTCTCCCTTCCTGGAGGATCTAGCAGCTGACGCTTCCGGGACCGGTTCACCTGGAGACACCTCTTCCACATCCGTTACAATGCTGTTCAACCAGTCCGTACGGCGGAAGCGGGAGAGAAGTTGTAAGACAGTACGCATATCATATCTTGAAAGTAAGGTCCATCTGTTGCTGTAGCCCGCTTTGTGGATACGGTTGCGGAATTCGCCTTGAAAAAAAATGCTGTTGACTTCCACTCTGGAAGCCTACTCCTTGCAATTTCGTGGAAAAATGATAAAAGAATAAGGATAAAGTCTTCGCCGTTGATCAATCCCTTTGTGGGATGCGGCACGCATTCTACTTCCATTCAGAATCGTAGTGGCTTATTGAATGCGATGTGGCCTATACAATGACTTGCGGGGGCCAGCCATGTACAAGTCAGTGTTTCATCCTCCCAAGCAAACCAGGTATACTCAAAATCCTCTGAGATCGGGTAGGCGTGGCTGCGTACTTGATTTTAAAATGGCGGCGGCCCAGGTTTTCGTGAGATATTGTCATTTTGGAGCAGTCGTATCATGTCTGCATCTAACACAGAACAAGATAGCAGTTGTTTCAAATTGAAGTATCCCACGAGAAACCCGTCCTATGCCATGCTCAAAAGCCACGCCTACTCCGTCTCAGGGATAAGGAGTGTACCAATTTACCATCCCTGGGGGTAGAAGGCTTGGTTGGCCTGGGCGGGTGTCGACCGAGGATTCGAACCCAGGACCGCGCGAGAGATAAGCGCGCCACTTGTCACTACACCATCCCCGCTGGTGGAAAAAATACTGTCTGAACACTACATATAAAGTGTTCAGACAGTATTTTTTCATACTACTATATAAAAAAATGTCTGTATTGAACACTACAAAAATTCCCGAAAACTGTCTCCATGCGACTCCCATTTTGCGGAGGAACGAACCTGAAACGGGAAAACCAAGAGAAACCATCTGCAAAAGTTCTCTAGCGGCTTGGGAGAAAATTTTTGAGGCAAATACGATTTCCTCCATCAGGGATCAAGTACAGACCCTGTTTGGGTTCTCTCAGCAATGCTCTGCCTGATCTGAAGATATTAATGAGAAAGCTCACTGTTGGTACCTCGCAGCTTTACCAGGTACTCGACGGTTGGCGAAAGCATTCGAATATAAAACCTGCCCAGTAATCAGAGATGGTCGCCTTGTTTTGGCCAGCAGTTTTTCCCCCAAAGAAGCTCGGTGATTTGTAGCTTGTCCCAATAAAACGACTTTGCACTTGATGAAAATTCTGTTTCATTAACGAAAAATGCTGTGCGACTGGCACTCCACCACCTATATTATTGGCATGACATGACGCTTAAGAAAAAATGTTGCAGCAGTCGGCGGCTGTCTTTTTCAGAGAGCGCCGCACATTCTACTAGTTCCACTCCAGACCGTGCTGTAATCTTCGGAGCAGTTTGACCGATAATTGTGGGGGCCAGCCTGTGTACAAGCCAATTTTTTTTGCCATGTCTGTGAAGGTTAGCTGAGGCAAAAGCAAGAGACAGTCATGTACTGTGACGCCAACTAAGCTAAACAAGCTCTTCTACAGGGGGGGGGGGCAAAAAAAGTCACTTCGACCGAGTCACATATCAGCAAAGTTTTCGCTGCCCAGACAGAGGACGTGGATACGAGTACCAGGGCGGAAGATACCCAAGATGTTCCTCGATAAGCAGGAGCTGGCTCTCGCCCATCACCTTCATGTACACCAAAATATGAAGTCATCTCCAGTCGCAGCCTGACTGGAGAAGACCTTTGGAATTCATGTCACCTCCAAACAGCTGCGAAACTTCTAGTGTGGAGTCACCCATGGATAGCTACCTGGAGACCAGTACTCTCGATCTGGATGACCTCCAACATCGAGCAGCTCCGACAACGTCGCTACGGTCTAGGACATCATCTTCACCGCAGTCGCCAAGGCGCGGGTTGATGGTATGGACCGGACGTACCTGGAATGGAAAGACCAATATTTTCTTCGTGGACCCCGGACTGAAGGTGAGCGCTGGCGGTTACATTGGGCAACTCGTGAAGAATATCCTCACATGTGGTCGCCCGTACCTTCTTGGAAACTTTGTACTGCTACAGCATTGAGTGCCACCACATGAAATCGAAGGGCGTTGGAGAAACACTCGCCTACTTGGAATGGAAGGGGGCTGAGTACCTAAAGAAGATGGAATATCCAAGTAGGTCACCTGACCTGAATCCCCTCAATTACCCGGTTCGGGCGGAGTTCAATAGGGTGGTCTACGGTGGCGGAGAAATCGACTATCTCGCTGATCTCAGGCACCACATCGCGGTCGCGTGCCAGAATCTCTCGATGGCGCTCGTCCAGAAGGCTGTGGCGGAGTGTCATGATAGTATTTGATATGCTCTTTAATATGGTGGTAAAAATGTCCGATCAGAATTCAATAAAGTGTAACTTATAGCGCCTCGAAAGTCAATGAAGAAAAGTGACTTTCTTTGCCCTCCCCCCCCCTGTATATTCTCTTGAGAGATGGTAGGTTAGTACCAGATAAGGTAACAGCATCATTCGGATTATCTCTCCGGAGGGGATTGAACTCTATTGGTGAATGAGGGGGGATGGCATGGAATCTAGCCGTGAGAAAAAATTTTTCGAGCCGCGAAGGAATTTCTCCTCTTGCCGATTTTTCCGTTTCATGAGAGCTACATAAGGATTGGCTGCACATCAGAGCTACTGTTCAACTCTGTTCAGTTCTGACATTGACTGGAAAAGACCTCTCAGCTTCACAACAGAGCACACCACACCATCGTTGGGGATTCTCCAACCGGGGTTGTATTTGACCTTCCGCGCAATGGTAACACTGACGCTGAGCCCTGAGCAGCGAACTTGCTTTGTAGAGAGCCCGCTTATGTAAAAAAAACACTAGAAAGATCAGAATGATTAACCAGAGGACTTAATAAGTTGACTTAGGTTCGTAAATAGGTAAGTAGTAAATAGTAGGTAGCATGTGCATCAATGCCGAAATCGCACAGCAAACAACGTCAACGTCAAGCTGGCTATCGTTGTCAAGTGTAAAGAGCAACCAAAAGTGAGAACTTGCGAATCTCCTACGGCACCTTGCTTCTGCCAGCTTTTCCTGTGTATGGAGCGCGAAACGGCCACTGGTCAGCACTACCATCCAGCCTCATTTCAGCACAGTTTCAATTCTGGTACATTTCTGGAGCTGCGAGCTGCGGTAGCGTCCACCTAGCACGTGGCTAGGAGCAGGATCCTAGGAGGTAAGAGCACAGCGTATCATTGGGATTAATATTCCCTCCCTACACTTTTGCCAACGACTTTCACTTTGCGGTAGGGACTCACTCCAGTTCACTCTCACCATTAGCGAAGGGATGTGTTCACCAGCTGGTTGTAAAGAGCATTAATAGACCATATGGAGGTCTCAAAGCTGTCTACCGCAGTTGCGCTAACAACCAAGTCCGTGAGCAGTGCCGTAACATCCTGAGATATGGACCGTATGTTCAAGGTACGACTTCAAGGCTTGAAGGAACAGGTTTCAATCCCAGAGGTAGCTACTCGAAGACCATTTGCATACTCTCGAGAAAGAAATTAGTAGCAACACGAAAGCTCTTCAGCCTTAGTACGGCCACTTCACTGAAGCAAAGCGATTGATCTTGGTGCAGGAGCGAGTGGACACAGGCATACTCTTACTTGCTGCGCTGCGGGACGCATCAAGGAGGGAAGGGTCTGGTGCGGCTCGGGCCGCTCTTTTTTCTTTTGTTTTCTTTCGTGAAACGACAAGGCTGTACAATATTGCTCACAACAGTCTTTTTCCACCTATTGTTCCCTTAAACCCTTGAAGATAATTCCCGCAATCAAGTGGATAGTGGCTAGGTGCTCTGTCTTAAACCAACAGCCCACAAGTAGAGAAAGAAGCAAAAAAAAACACTCTGAATAGAGGTCTCCCATGGGGGCCCCCTGAGCGAGTCGGCAAGCCCAATCAGCAGGATTCGACGTGCAACCAATTCCCGGCAAGAGCACAGGAAATCACCCTACGACGCTCCAGGCAACGCTATGTACACACGCAATTCCGCTTGTAAGCCGTTGTCTTGCAGAGTGAAAGTAATCGTGGTTGCAATGGTTGCAATAATCGCGTCTCTAGCTTCTTTATCTCGCCGTTTCATATGACGCATCATCTGTGAATGCCGACAACTATGCCAAATTCACGAATGCATCTGCGGTCTACTTGATCGCGGGAACCGTCTTTGAATAAATGGTGGAGAACAGGCTGGCAGCCAGCCAAACCCAGCTTCCCTGACACGCCCCTGCATCCGCAGAGAACAGGACTGTGCTATGGACATGTTTGTGCTCAGGCGAATACATATGGCAGTAGAAGCTCCAAATAAACTTTATTCGGTTTGTGCTTATTGACGTTCATATAACACAAATAGGGCAGTATGTAGCAAAAAAAATAGAGGAAATAAAGGTGGAAGAAGACAAACAAAAGGAGGACAGCGAAAACGGAACGAATCTCGGAGTACACTGGCCAAGCAATGGAATCGACGCGTACAGTAAAGACAACAACGGTAATATTTTTAATATGATAGAATCGGCAGTGTGCCCTGTAAGGGTAATGCTTAATTATGCTGGTAATGCTTAATTATGCTGAATTCCGAGTTGGATGGTGAGTAATTTGTGTGTGCAGTGCACGAAAACACGGACACATTCAACAACACGTTATTAAGACAAACAAGAAGTGTGCAGTACATTCATGAGAAAGGACAGAATAGATTGCATCGGAGGGGTGATCGCGTACGTGCCAAGCTAATTACTTACGCTGACAACGCGATTGGCATTCCTCCAACGTCGTGAAGCGATTTGTGTTGCCCAGACAGCCACCGTAAGTGAACTTCTCACAGGATTGTGACCCAGTGTTGAAGTAATAGTATTCGTGCTTTCCTGAGCATGGTCCTTGCACTTTGGGGAGAGTGCAGGCATCTGAAAAAGCATACCAGAGTAAACAGTACAAGTATCATCCTTATGAAGTCTTGTGAAGCTGGAGCAAGCAAGCACACTGATTGCTGAGAAGAGGCTTTATCGGGGCAGTTTGGCGATGGGGGGGGGGGGAAGGGACTTGCACCTTCGTTGCTTCTCTACTTCAGGTTTACAAGTCTCACTCCTATGAACTCTTGTGAAGCTGGAGCAAGCTCGTCAAGCCATCATGGTAAAGCCTC